AGATATCAATTCGCAAATCCAAAGGATTACACTTGTGTGTTTTCATACTCGTCGTACAAATTTAATTTTCTCCCTTTGCCACGCTTATTCACATTCACATTCTTCGCATGTGCTACATTTACATATAGAATTGAAATTTAGAAATTTAAAACTTTAATATATCTAATACTTAAAAATTTCATGTAACTTACAAGATTGGCAACCCAATGGTACACCGCGTGCGACCCCGTGTGGTGGTCTATCCCCACCGTCTCCTCCATGTCCCCTCGCGACTTCTGCCATCTGTTTAACAAATATTATTGACTGGCAATCTCCATAAAGTTTTTAAGACCTTCCAAGAATTTTGGGGACGTTCGGTTTTCACGAATCCAATCTTATCGACTGTCATTACTGTTTCATTATTAAAATAACATTGGATACATAGTTAAATTGTATGACTTTTTGTTGAGGAAAAAAACGGACGGAATGGATAGATATTGACAAGTATATAAAGAAATATATACCCTGGAAGAAGAAATCGGACGGAATTGATAGAGTATTCAGAAGGGTAGACTTCTAAACACATTTTATAGCAATGTACTTTTATTAGTTTGTTATAGTATATATACATTTTATTTTTTTCAATTACAACATTGTACTTTTAATATTATTTTGTTTTTTGTTTTTGTTTTTTTTAGCACCATAAACAAGATAAAAAATACTTTTAATATTACTTTTAATAACAACGTAATTTTATTATTTTGTTTTATGTTATAACTTTCAAATAGAAATGAAAATAAAATACTTTAATTAACAAGATAAAAAAAAGTATGTTGCTATTAATAACTTTTATAGTTTAAATATTTTTGACTTAATAAACTTTAATCTCAATAAACATATTTTTATTAGTTTAAATATTGTAACTTAAAAATTAAACATTTGATCACTTTATTCACTTAAGCTAATAAACTAAACAAATTAAACACAACCATACATATTTTATACATAGTTAAATGGTATGACTTTTTGTTTGAGAAAAAAACGGACGTAATGGATATATATTTACAAGTATATAAAGAAATATATTTAAAACATTCTATTTTTCACTTCTCTTTCATATTTATAGTATATATACGTTTTATTTTTTTCAATTACAACATTGTACTTTTAATATTATTTTGTTTTTGTTTGTTTTTTTTAACACCATAAACAAGATAAAAATTACTTTTAATATTACTTTTAATAACAACGTAATTTTATTATTTTGTTTTATGTTATAACTTTCAAATAGAAATGAAAATAAAATACTTTAATTAACAAGATAAAAAAATATGTGGCTATTAATAACTTTTATAGTTTAAATATTTTTGACTTAATAAACTTTAATCTCAATAAACATATTCCAAAAATCTCAATTATCAAGATAAAAAAAAGTATGTTGCTATTAATAACTAAACAAATTAAACACGACCATACATATTTTACATTTTATACATAAAATTTCATACCAACCTAAACAAAGATCACAATCATACAATATTTCATACCAACCTAAACAATTTCAATTTCATATACCAACCTAAACAATATCAATTTCATACCAACCTAAACAATCATACAAAATTTCATACCAACCTAAACAAACTATATACATATTCCAAACAAAAAATAACAATCACACATATAACAAACAAACAACAACACAATCACATATATATATATATACCAAACAAACAACACAATTATATAATCAAAGAGGATCAATTTCAATTTCAACACACAATCTATATATATATATATATATATATAATATAATATATAATATTATATATGTGTGATTGTGTTGTTGTTGTTTGTGTTATATGTGTGAATTGTTATTTTTTGTGCATATATATATATATATATATTATATAGATATATTATATATATATATATATATATATTATATATATATTTTCAATTTCAATAAAAATTAGAAAACAAAAAAACTAACATGTGTTTTGTTCTTGTGTGATGAACGAATTCTGGCTAGTCAAAGAAGCTGGTAATCCTCCGGTGGTGGCTGGTGGTGGCCACAGGCGGCAATACAAAATCAGAAAAAAAAAATATATGAACAAGGTTGAAAAACGGACCAGTGAACAACTCCGGTGGTGGCTGGAACGAGGTCGCCGACGAACAACTCGCCGGTGGGAAGGTTGAGGCAGGAAAACGGGCGGTGGTGCTTCACCACCTGTTAACTACCCTACACACCAAAAAACACCAAATTTGCGGTAAAAATCATTACCAAACAACAATAAAAAGCGAAATAGGGGTAGAAACAACCTTGGATAGGGTTAATCGCCGGTGATTTGAGTTGGGATGGAATTTTCGTCGAGTGCAAAAGAAAGACAGTCGCTGTGTGCAAATGAAGGACGCCTGCGTATCTTTTTTAGGGTAAACCCCTATGCCGACGACAAGTCGTCGGTATAGGGTCCACATAAACGACGACGTTGCGATTTTTGCTGAAATAAAAGAAATATATAAAAATTAAAAACACTGTGCCGACGACTTGTCGTCGGGATAGCCTTCCCTAAAACTACGTCGTTTTGTTTTTCTGGCACATGGAATAAAAATAAATGGAAAATAGATTTTTCGATACCTATACCGACGACATGTCGTCGGTATAGATTTTCAGATTCCCGCGATTATTTTCGTTGTTCCCGCCCAGACTTGTGGCGACGACTTGTCGTCGGCACAGATATCGCGGTCAAAGGTTCCAAAAGATATCGCGACGACATGTCGTCGGGATAGGGAGACCTGTAGTGACGACCGTTGTCGTCGGGATAGATGTCGTCGGCATAGCTTAGTATTCTTGTAGTGATGTTGACCAGTAGCGACTAGCGGTTGCTGTTGTCGGCGGTGTTGATTGTTTCTGCCACCGCCTCGGCGGTTGAAGTTTCCCCGGTGAGCGCCACCTCCACCCCCACGAGATGACGACGAGGATGAGGTTCCAACGTGAAGGAGTGATGGGGCGGAACTGTATGTGTCGTGAGTTGGAACCATGTGACGAAGGCCGTTGAGTCTCATTTCTTCAACAAGAAGCATTGAGCGCATTTCTAAGAATGATGGAAGAGGCTTGGAAAAACGTATAATACCTGCAACGCTATTAAATTTGTTGGGCAGTCCGTTGAGTGCATGAAGAACAACCGTCCAATCTTTGACTTTTTTGCCAAGCCCCTCAAGTAAATCACTAATCTGCTTGATCTTCTCTAGATAATTGTGAACTGATAAATCTCCCGATGTGATGTTCCTCAATTCGTTTTCAAGGTGCAAGGTAATGGATTCAACATCAACATAAAACAAGTAATGCAAGTTTTGTCGGATCTTTCGTGCAGATGCCTTAATGGAGTAGGAAGATGTGATTAATTTTTAGGATACAGAACCAAATAGCCACAGTTTCACGACTTGATCAAGCTCTTTTCATTCGGTATCTCTGGGAGGATGGTTTGGAGGGTTAAAGGTGTCATATATATGGTCTGGAACGCCATATGCAATACAGTGTGCATGGAATAAGTCACTCCATGGATCATAGTTGCGAGCAGAGAGATCCAGAATAAGGGGGACGTAGGTCTTAATATTAGTAATAACGTACACATTATGAGTGGGTTTAGAAGAAGAGCTCCATTCGCCAATCATGGTGATGAAGAAAGAACAGAAGAAAGATCATGAGAAAAAGGGAGAAAGAAGGAGGCGAGATCGGATAGGGTTTAAGTCTATGATACCATGTTAAGTGGTATTTTCTGGTAAACGTATTCTCATTAGATGATACGTATATAAAGTACAAGATACATACAAAGCACATGGGCCAGTACAAACGGGCCTAACTACAATACAATTATACAAAGATAAATATAATGGTCATGTACACAAAGGCCTATATCCGCTAACAGTATTCCACTGTTACACACACACACCCACCCAAAAAAAAAAACCTAGTAATCTTCTAGTCTTCTACTCTCTAATAGACAACATATGTCCCTCTCCTCTTCGGTGGTGATTGAAAATTGGATTGGTTCCATGGAAGACAATCAAACCAAAAGTAAGTCCAAATACTTTTATGTTTTTGATGTAATATAAATTTTTGATTGGTGAAGATGGTGTATATCTGGTTTTAAATTCTTGTGATTGGTCCGGACCGAAACCATAAACAACACTGTTAAAGTCTAAATCAGTCCAAAACCCGAAACCCGGTTTGGTACCTAGAATCGGACCCGATACACCCAAATTACTATTATCAATTAGAAGAATTTATGGTTGGCTTAATTGAACTACTACAACCGGTCCGGTTTTCGGGTAAGGTAATTCACGATTTCAGGTCTTCAGGCCGGTTCGGTCTGAAGCTCATCCATAGTTTCAAGTATAGAAAGGGGATAAGTCAGTCGGTTAATTTGGTTTGATTCTGTATGAGATATCAAGTAGGGAAATCCGATACAAAATTAGGTTTAGTAAAAAGCAAAATTTCGGTTAATATTTTGGTATTCCATATATGCATCTAAAATTCCAGATATCTAAATTTAACGGGGGGCGTATATGGTTTATATGAATAGCTTAGAATGTGTTTGGTTGTGGAAAATTTTAAAATGAGAATGAGAATTCTAAAAGGCGTTTGTTTGATTTTGTTTTAAAAGAATATCTAAGAAAATGAAAATTTTTTGTTTTCCAAGTTGTGTATGTAAACTAGAAAAGCGATTTTCATAGTTTTCCAAACTTGTAAAATGGAAAATGAAAAGAGTTTTCCACAACCAAAGGCAACCTTAGATGTGCTTTTTCTTTTTCATTATGTGGATTGTTTTGGCCATATTTGAAAGAAAAAAAAAATTAGTTGTCTCATATAAACTGTGATGTGGTAAGAAGAAGAAGAAGAAGAAGAAGAGATCTTGAATAAAAGAGCAACCAAGGCAAGTATGGTAAGATGTATTATGTAAGCAAACAGATAGCGGTTGTTAAAGCAACATTGCTGGTTTTATTTAGTAATGGCATACAAGTCGTTGGTAATTCTTTGAAGTGAAATTTGCAAGGAGTTTTCAACATAAATCTTTGGTGAGAGAGGCAGGATTGTTGCATGAAAAAAAGACAGTTGTAAAACATGATTTTGGTAAATTCCATTAAATGTTGATGCTGTGGTTTGTGTTTGTGTTGCCAAAATGAAGGTATTTAAATGTTTGAATGTTGTGTACAAATGTGACACTGAACAGGAACAGTACGTTTGTCATGCAGGAAACCGCACTACTTTTCCAGTGGCGACAATCTTCTCTGTAGATATCAGAGAAACAGTTAGTTGTGTATAAGTGGCTAAAATAGATAAAATGGCGAAAGCAGTCCCAAGTGCTTTTCTGTTAAAAGTTTAGATGTATTAAGATTTAAAACAGATTTTCACCTTTGCTGCTGAGTGCAAACCCTCCAAGCTTTTTAAAATCAGAGTAATTCTCAGCACATATGGTCCTATGAACCTGGGGAAGGCATCAGAGAAACAACCATAAAAAATGATGGAATTTGAACCTTGCTATCAATATTTTACACATAATAGCAACTTACTTGCATCTGTTTTACTCATAATAGCACAATGACAATATGTAACCTAAAACCTGAAAAATGTACTTTCTTTGCTAACCATAATAGCAACGTACTTACATATTTTTGTCATCACCGGTTGAGAAATGTAAGTATGTTGTCATTATGGGAAACAAAAAAAAAAAACTCAAGAAGCAAACTCAATTCTATGGAAATGAACCATTCCATTCCCGTCCCGATTCCATCATACCAAACGCTACCCAAGTAACAAAAGGGAGTGTGAAATGATTTATTTCATCCAAAAAAAGGGCATGAATGTCATACCTCCAAAACGTGTTTTCATGATTCATTTTCTTTTCATTATTTTTGACAGAAAGCCATGTTTTGAAAACCGGACCGGGAATTTTAAATTTTTTTTATTTTTTGTATAATTGAAATTAACAATAATGTAATTATGACATCATCCGTTTTTCAGTCTCTGGTCCGGTTTTCAAAACCTTGACAGAAAGATGAATGTGTAGCAATATGAAGGCTGGAAAGTAAATAGACATTGAGGGGCAAAGGGAAGAGGAAAGAAAATAATGTAGCAATATAAAAGGACAAAAGGGTCATTTAACATATATATATATATATATATATATATATATATATATATATATATATATGAAAACTAACCCGAAGGCGGCATACAACAACATTGCCCTGTTCGAAGTTGACAAACGATGGCTTCCGTGGATAGGGTTTCCCGGTTCTAGGATTAATACGATCGATCAACTCCATTACCTCGCAGTCCTCAACAGCCGTGTGTAATAACAGTATGCTACAGAAGCCGACTGAGAAAACACCAGCCTACAAAACCAAAAATTAGATTAACAAGAAAACAAGACTAATGAAGCCTAATATCAAAATCCAAGAGGAAATATATTCTAGTTCCATACATTTCGCGGGCTTTTGATGGTGAGCAACCGAGCGATGAATTCGGTACCTTTTTGTATCGGTTTTTCTGCATAAGAACAAAACAGAGATCATCAAATCCTATAAAGACATCCAAAAGAAAAATAGGTGGACAAGTACTAAAGTACCTGCTGACAATGTGGGTCCCACTATACATATTATTTTACATGTTTACATTTATTTATTAAATAGTTTATCACATGACTTTATTATTTTATGAAAAAAAAAAAATTCTTAATTTGTGATTTAATCAAGATTACACAATAATAACTGAACAGTGATATTTTGATTTGTAAACAATAGTAACATTTAGTATCCAAGTGTAGATAGATAACAAATGTAAAATACCACAACATGGGTACATATCTAAGAATTTGTTTCTTTTTATTAGATTACATAATTAATCAAACAACAAATCATTATATCTATGTTAGTATTTGAATGAGCACTATAGATTATGAGTATGTATTAGGGAAAATTAAATTTTTGGTCCCAACAAAGTTTTCTCTTGCACTTTTGGTCCTTATTTGAGGTTTTTGTAACGCGGTAAAATGAGTATCTTTGGTCCCCAAGAATAGCTCATTTTTTTCAATTTTAGTCCCAAAAATCTAGTCATTTTACTTGGAACAGGGATCAGAAATGTTACAAAACCCACAAATAAGGACCAAAACTGAAAATATCATCATTACTCAAGGACCAAAACATGTAACCTACACTATGCATTATTATGAATTCTAAGGTAGTTAAGGGAAAGGAGTTTTCCATAGCTATACTTAGCATGTAAATGCTTTAGAGATTAATAACGTACTGATCTTAGAAAGATAACATACCAATACTTGAAAGTACCAGACCCTTCCTTTGGTTTCCTACTGCAAATCCAAGAAGGTGGACAAGTACACACTCACCGGGGCCCGCACTGTCAAGGATCTTATTCTTATCAGAAAGTAAAGAAGAAACCTCCACCTGAACCTGCATGATGCATCGTGTAGTGTTAGATATTGATGTTTGGAAGGAAGAATTTTTTTTTTTTAATACTACAAAAAATAGAGGGTTAGATGCAAGAGATAGCGACATACCTTGCTTGGCTTGTTTATTATAGCATCCTACTTCTAATTCTTCCTATTACACAAGTGTACTTTGTGGGTAGATTTTTCAAAATACCATGCTCTTGTAAGAAATATAAGATAAAAAGTACAATCTTGTAATCGGAAGAAATGAAAGTAGGATGCTATAAATATAACACACAAATAGATGAGCTGTTTCTTGCATTTAACCCTGTGTAAAAGGATGTCTTTGAAGATAGAACCTCATCTGGCATCAACAGAAGCATATTGCCAATGTGTACACTGCCAGATTCTACTTTTGCAATTAAAAACTCCTTTTCCTCGATAATGATTTGGCCCGTTACAATTATCCTGAAGATCAAGTATCAAGTAAGAGAATCTATCTGATTCATTTTCCAAGATTGAGCAGTAAGTAAGACAAAAAATGAAGAAACAAAAAGCAAAATACAGAAAGACAAGTCTACTTCCATCGTTTCATCCATTTAGTAACTTAAATGTTTTCTGGAGTGATTAAACCATTACACTTTTCTTGACCGTTTAAATAAAAAATTAAAAATAAATAAATAAGACATTATATTCCCTGGTTCTGATATCAGGGCAAATTACAGAAAACACAGCATACTTTCACCATTTTATCGATTTATCCCCCGAACTATACATTAAAAACAACAGTTTGGCAGATAGCAAAAGTATGTTGTGCTTTTCTGTATCTGCCCTTCTTCAAAAACTGTAGCCAGGAAATATGTTTATTTAAAAAAATAAAAAACAGACAGAGAGCTTAATGGAATGGTTTAATCAGTATCAAATATAGTCAAGAACTAGAAGTGAAACCTCAATGGATCACTGGGTTGGTGCTGTTCAATCTCGAAAGCATCAACTGCATCAAGAAGCGTCGGGCCATCCCACCACTTGGACACTCTTCTATCAACTTTCGTGTGCACATTCATATCATATAAGCCGCACACTGGGATGAATGTAACATCTGTAAAGCATTAAAGGAGACCGATATTACTACAATTACTATTAAGTACAAACATTAACAAAAAAAAAAAAATGTGCTCTTCATACTTCCTTAATCCTAGGTTAATAAAGAGAGAATTCTATCTGTTTCAGGGGAATGTGACCGTCCATATAACTTGATTAGGAATGGTTACTTTCATGTATCTGTTTACTAGGGCATCCTACTTTCGTTTATTTCTAGTACAGCATTGTACCTTCAATCCTTTTTTTCTTATTAAGGTATTGTACTTTGAAACATCAAGCCGGCCATAGCATTTTTGTACTTCCAATGTTTCATTATATGCATGTCACACATAGTACAAGATTGTCATGCTCCATCCTCTCATATGTAACAAAATGGAGCCTGACATAACATAAAATAAATTTTTAATGGGTTACCTTCCACCTCGTAGCCTGCATTGACACAAATGATACCCAGTTGCGCCACGACTGCATCATACCTACAAATATAAACACCATTAAAGTGTGTGTGTGTGTGTAATATATATATATATATATATATATATATATATATATATATATATATTCCAGAAATAAAATTAAAATCACAATCTTTAAAGTACCTCTCTTGATTCCAACCCAATCGTGGATGAGTCATGTAGTTCACTGCAACCACTAGCTTAGAAACACCAAAAGCACGCGCAAGGTGGATATGTTCACAAGTTTTCCAGCGGTCTATCCATTGCCCATCTTCATCCAGAACATTCATCTTATCATCAGAATACACCAATATGCCTATCTCTGCTTGCAAGACCATGCGGATCACGCTGACACCACCAGGTAAAGGGTCTAGTGGGTCCTGAATAATAAAACAATTTCACATAAACATCAACTTCAAAGCCAAAACAAAAAATGTGTTCTTTATTTCATACTTCAAAAGTATAATGGAAAAGATTTTTACCTGGGTGTCCATTATGAAAAACTGTGTCTTGCTTGTCTCATGACACATTGGTACATAATCCAACTGCAATGTTCATTTGACATAGATGAATGCTTAATTCAAGAATATATTCTATTTTGCTACTTCAAAAGCTTAATGCAAAGACTTACATGTCTGTGCAGTCTCAGATCTAGTTCTTCACGATAGGTAGCATCATCTTGATAGCCCCTAGCATCCAACTGCATGACTTACGTGACATTAACAGAATGCATTTGGAAGCAAGAATCCAAAACAATGATACTAAACATAGATTAGTAATACATTACCCGACATCTCTTAGCATCAGTGCAACCCTTAAGATAATAGAAAAGCTCCCTAGTGTAAGGTAAAAACAGAAAGTATACATGAGAATAAAAACCTAAATTAAAAATGGTAAAAGAAGGTCCAGAAGCGACTTACGGGTACTCATCAATGGTGTCATTGTAATCAAGGATTTGAGTTGCAATCGTAGTCTTTCCCACATCTATAACTCATATTATAACAAGAAGAAGAAAAAAGAAAATGTATCAGATAATGAGTTAGTTGTAAGGGCTCTACTCTATATTACCCTTAAATTGATTAATTGTCTAAAAGAAAGACTAGTTCAGGTAAAAAAAAGCAGGGGGACTTGAACAAACAACTTAAGAAATAGTAATTAAATAAACAAACTCACCTTGACAACCAATGAGGCCAATTCGGTAACATCTCTTCCTATCACCAGACATCAGCTTTGCTAGCTCTTTCTGTGGAATCAAAAGAAACTTGTGCTTTTTGAGAAATTACAGAAAGAAAACCTAACACCAATGCAAAAACTAACATTCACACACACAATCAACTGGTATTAAAACTTAACTCTACAGGAATCCACACCATGGCAGTTCAAGCAGAGGGAAAAAAAACATCAGGTGAATCAAGGTAAGAACTAACAAGAGTACACAATCAATAGGAAATAACAGGGAACAAACAGTATGAAAAAAAAAAACGATTTAACTTCTTCACGCAAGCTCAACACAACTACCGGCGATGCATAAAAAGGAGAGTATCACATTAACGCAGACATAAACAAAAGAGTAACCAATGAAATGAAGCAAATATCGATTTCATTTACCGGTAGAATCAGTAATTTGATGACTTATCAGGTTTAGAGTTCAGTGTTTACCAAATCCTATTATAAAATTTAGAAATTATTGACCTAATTAGCAGATTGAAGTTCCAATTATATCGCAGATAGTCCACCGCTACACAACAAAATCACCGACGGAATGCTACACAACAAAATCACCGACGGAATCAAAAATAACATAACCCTAACGCTAGACAAATATTGGATAATCCAGCACTATACACAGCAGAATCAAGCATTACAACTACTGAATGTGAGTGACAACTAACAATAAACTGTGAAATTACGTTCAGAAAGAAACATACCTAAATCGCGGATGAAGAAAGGGTAGAATGTCGCACCCCGCTGAAGCGGAAACGCAAGGTATGACAGGTTTCATTGCAAAAGATAAAATACATCACCATAGCAGTATTTAAAAGTTTACAACCCATAGCTTAAATAGAAACAAAATACAAGTTTTCCAAAACGACATTGTTCAAAAGAAAACTTCATAATAGCTTCAACACGATGCAGCATGCTCTATGATGATGAATCTTTACATCCACTTACTAATTATTTCCTGAAAAAACATGTAAAACGAGCGTCAACTATGAAAATAGTTGGTGAGTTCACAAGTATATAAAATCGAGCTTGAAACAAAGCTTTTCGTAAATACAAGTACATTGCTTGAATGATAAACCAAGTTGATTGCTATTAAAGAATACAAGTTTATTGCTATAACGAGAAACGAGTTTTGTATGTGTATGAGCAAACAATGAGTCTCAACCAAACCTATGACTGAAGCCCTATCGAGATCTATGCTTATCGTTCCATAGATGAATATGGTATCATGCACTCCAGCGATTCGGGCGAGTGAGGAGTTGTCAATTCCTAATAGCGCTATCCATAATGACCATTGGCTCAAAGAGTTAATGGTTAGAGATAAGGGAAGGGCCTTAGTACGATAAGTTCTCATGTTCCGAGTTGCATAGACATACATAAAGAAACATAGCAATACAATAGCAATCATGTTTGATACAATTCAATTTAAATACAACATGCAAATAATAGTTTTTCTGGACATGCTTTTCCACCCCAAAACATAAAAACTGAAAATAAGGGAGTGCGTGAATACTCACAATGTTTCGAGAAGATACAAGTAATACTTCGGAATGCACCAACGTCTTACTACCGGGATCCTACGACATCAAACACACACTAGTGAGTTTCCATGTCGAAATCTAATGCTAATATACTAAATTCTACACATAGTGAAATGCCAATTTACATTTTAGTATTTGGTTTTGTATTAATTGGTTACACTTTTTCTGAATAATACAATTCTACAATTCGTGCGATTTATTACAACATTGGAATATAAATTTTCCAAATTTTAAGTCCTTATTACAACATAAATTCACGAAAAATAGCATTCAAAGGATAGAAATTCTCAAACTTTTTATTTAACTGTTATTACACAATATTAAGCTGGGAAAAATATAAAAATGGATTTCCAAGCTGTTTAATTATATTTTATGATTTTTGAGCCTTTATTTCAATAAAAATTGAAATAAATAGAAAACAGTTTCCAAAATTACCCAAACTTTTTATTTAGCTGTTATTATACATAACTAGGCTGGGAAAAATATAAAACATATTTTTCAGTGGGTATTTCTATTTTTCCTTGTTTTATTCCTCTAAATAATCATTAATTGGAGAATAAATATTAAACAGTTAAAATAAATTACCAAAAATTTTTGTAACATCATTTACAGCATGAATAACCTGGGAAAAATGCCAAAAGTGGTTTTCATGTTGTCTAATCTGGTTTTGGGTATTTATGTGTATTTAAGTGTGATTAACTTTGGAAATTAAGGGAAAAATAGTTTACAGTGGAGAAAAACCCTCAATATTTTTATGTAACCTCCTACTGTTTAACATGATGTTCTGGTAATTTTTCATGAATTTTGGATAATCAGAACTATTTTTCCTATTTTTAGACCATTATAATGACCAAAAATTGGGAAAAATAGCAAGGCATGATGAAAAATGTTGAAATTATTTTTCTGAGTCACCCATCACAGGTAAGGTATGCGAAAATTGTTAGATACAATTTTCACACTCTCTAAAGTGGTTTTGTGATTTATTATACCCAAACAAAAAGAAAATCGGAAATCATATCAAACAGCAACAAAAACTGATGAAATTTTGTGAGGGGTCATTATTCACCATAAGGGTCATCCATGAATTTATTCTGGATTTATTGACCTCTGGAAGTATTTTATGTGATTTATGCCCTTGTTTCTAGCAATAATTTTAATAAATCAAAGAAATAATAAAAGCTTTTGGTATTTTACAGATTATTACATGCATGTGAGGGCTTTCAAAAGGAAAAATATTCAGAATTTATTAGAAGGAAAATAGGGGTATTGAACCCAAACAAGTTAAGAAAAGTAGCATGCAATGATGCATGAGGTGTAAAGGTGGCTAAAGTTCATGATTTTGTGTAGCCCAATCAGTAGGGTTTTAAGCCACGAAATTTTAACCATCATTCACTGGATATGTTAAGTTTCCAAGGTATTTTTCCCCAGATTTATGGTTGGGTCTAAAGCCATTGTTCATGCAAGACAAAAATGGTAATCATAGAAAAGAGCTGTTTGCGCACCCATTTTGTAAAAATTGCCAAAAATCGGGTATTTAATATTTTACAGTGAGACCAGTTGGGTTTGAAAGTTAACTCATGGAACTATCCAATGCAAAACGAATATCATGATTTGGTTAAGTTATGACCGAGTTATGGTCGTTCAAAGTTGAACAAAATATTCTGGCAGATTGCATGTTTGCTTGAGTGCATTTTTAGGACATTTAACAAGAACACCATGCATGCCTTTGTTAAGGTCCGATTTCTAGCACATGCATGGAGTGAATGAGCATCCAAGATGTACTAGAAATGTTGTAAATGCTTTTAATCATGCAAGAACACCAAAGAAATGGAGAAGAAGATGTAACACTAGTTTTTGAAGTCATATGAACATGCATGCATCATTTTCACTCATTGCATGGGTTTGATCCCGGATTTTCACCATTTCAAACACATGCATTGTGTTATGGTGAGAATCTACAAACCACAAGGGGAAAATAAAGATTTCTAGCCATGGAAAGGCATAGAATCCGAAAAAGAAGAGAAAACTAAGAAGATGAAGAAGTAAAACTTGAAACCATGGAAGAAGATGTTGTTGTTTACCTTGGTTTTGATCTTGAAGGAAGTAAGAACACTTCAAGGTCTTCAAAATCTCGAAATTTTGGCTGAGAATGAGAGGATTTTCGTGGTTAGAGAGAGGGAGGAGGAGAGTTTGTGGGTGAAAGTGAAGATGGAGTGGGAGAGAGTGAAGAGAGAGTGAAGAGAGAAGAGGTGGAGTGAGGGTTTTTGCCTAATGATGGTTTTGGGAAGAGAGAGCATGGGGAGAGGGGAGAATGGCTGGCCATTGAGTGGGTTAGGCCTCCTCTCTCCTAATTTCAAATTTTATAAAACTCCCTCCAACAATTTTTATAAAAACCCTAACTTTTATAAAAATATTTCTTAAGCAAATTTGATTTATTTAAAAATCTTGTTTTTAACTAATAAATTATGATTAATACTTGACAATTTAATTTTTATTTTATTGAACATAATTCATCGTTTGATTAATAAGAATTTGATATTAGAGAGTTTATAGCCAAATTTTATAAAAATTTTAAGCTTTATAATTTATGAATTTGGATTTTTAACTCTTTTAGGGTTTTGGAATATTGCTTGATATTTATCAACACAATGAGGTATAATTAGAATACTTTCATTTATTTTTAGGGTTTTACACCCTCTTTCCAATTATAACAAAGCTCGGAAGTTTCGTTCAAATTATCGCATTGGCATTTCCTATTGTAGTTGAGCAACTTACTAGAATCGTAAGTGTTAAGTATATTAGTCCTAGATCTTAGTTGGATCCTAGTTTATGCAAGACTTTGACCTAATCTATACTACTAGGTCATGGCATGTTGTGCATGAATGGTTTTTATAAAGATGCATGAGTCCGAGAATGACCTGAATTTGACAGTTGTCACAGTATCCCCCACTTAAAAAGAATTTCGTCCCGAAATTCATTCTATGTCATCACTTGTCGTCGCAAAGGAAAAGTTGTGGATACGTTTCCTTCATGAAGTCCTCGCGCTCCCAGGTGTACTCCGGTCCGCGTTTTGAGTTCCAACGAACTTTCACAATCGGGATCTTACTCCGCTTAAGTCGTTTAACCTCCCTGACAAGGATTTCTATCGGTTCCTCAACAAATTTTAGCTTATCATTGATCTTGATTTCCTCCAGGGGTACTATCAATGCTTCATCGGCTAGACATTTCTTAAGATTGGAGACGTGGAACGTGTCATGAATGGCGCTTAACTCTTGTGGTAATCGGAGTTTATATGCCACCGGACCAATCCTTTCAATGATCTCGAAGGGTCCAACATATCTTGGGCTTAGTTTTCCTTTCTTACCAAAACGTACAAGCCCTTTCCAAGGCGACACCTTTAGAAGTACCTTGTCTCCAACTTGGAATTCTAATGGTTTTCGACGATTATCCGCATAACTTTTCTGACGATCTCTGGCGGCTTTAAGCCTATCTTTGATGATAGCAATCTTGTCAGTTGTTTCCTGGATAAGGTCGAGTCTAGTCAATTGTCTGTCTCCGATTTCTGTCCAACACAATGGAGAACGACACTTGCGTCCATACAATGCTTCATATGGAGCACATTGGATACTCGTATGGTAACTGTTATTGTAGGAAAACTCAATTAGAGGCAAATGAGTATCCCAATTTCCTTTGAACTCAATGACACACGCTCGAAGCATGTCTTCCAATGTTTGTATGGTTCTCTCCGTCTGCCCATCTGTCTGAGGGTGGGTAGACCGGCAATTCCTCCGGAAACACTTCCTGAGGGTGGGTAGACCGGCAATTCCTCCGGAAACACTTCGGGATAGTTTCGAACCACTGGGATCTCCTTAAGTTGCTTATCTTCAGGTTCTCTTTCTAGCACGTGGGCCATGAATGCAATACAATTCTTCTTCAGGTACTTGTGAATCTTCATGCTCGATACAATGTTTAAACTTCTTCCTGGCTTCTCACCGTGTATGATAAGGGTTTCTCCATTAGGGAGAGGCACTCTAATGACTTTCTCGTAACAACCAATGTCCGCTCTATTCTTGGATA